TTACACTGATTCATTTTCCTGTGTTGAACCATTGTAGCATTTCAGAAACAAGTCCTTGGTCATGGTGAATAGTTCTTGTTGTAAGTTTGGTAATATTGTGTTAAATGGGTTTGCATCAATACCTAAAAGTTATTTTGCTGTACAGTTTCCTGTTCTTACACTAACTTTATATGGCTTTGATATCAGGGTAGTACTGCATTCAAACTGTTTTTCAGTGCTGTTATCATTTTACACTTTTACCTAAAATAAAGGACAGATGTAGTTTCTTGGCTTCCTCACCGGAATTTGGTACTGTGACTCATTTGACTTTTAGCCATTCAAATCAGTGTCTGGCAATTCTCATTATGTTCTTAATTGCGTTGTGCTAATGGCTAGTGATGTTATGCCTCTTTTCATGGCATATTTCCAAAGCATATGTCCTTGTTGGTAAAATGCATCTTCATGTCTTGCTCATTTTCTAACTAGAGTGCTCCCCTTGATGGTAGTGAGTTTTGAGAGTTCTTCATATGTTCTAGATACAAGACCTTGTCAGACATTGGTGTCAGCACCCAGTACTCATGAAAGAAAATATTCACGCTTTACCACAAATAGGATAGTGCTGACATATGCAAATATTAGTTAACTTTCTTTCGTTTTTTGTGTTTTTTTTGGTACCGGGGATCGAACTCAGGACCTTGCACCTGCAAGGCAGGCGGCGGAACCACTGAGCTAAATCCCCGGCCCTGGTTAACTTTCTTGAATGTTATGATTTATCCTGGAACAATTATGTTGACGTTTCCATTAAAGTTACAAAAGCAGTGGTGGGAGAACTGCTGGTGCCTTAACATGAGTCAAGACAGTGTCATCATAGGACAGCAGTAGTGATTATATCTGGCACTCTCATATACTTGCATTAGAAATACCAGATTCAGCCAGGTGTGGTGGCATACAACTGTAATTCCTGTCACATGGGAGGCTGAAGCAGGAGATTCCCCAACTTTCAAGACCACAGTGGGTTAAAATAACTAAATAAACACACGCACCAATTTCATTTGAAATGTTGTCCGTGAAACACTAATAACGGTAAATATTAGTCAGCCTTGATGACTAAAACTGCATATTTTTAATAACACACTGTGAAATCCAATGTACAAGCACCACACTTCTGTATGGAAAAAAGTAGATTAGGCACAGATGAATTTTAAAAATATGGAAACAGAAAGTAACCTAGTAGTTACATAATCATGGATCATACATACACGGGGAGACATGGGGTGGTAGCTAAATGATTGGTGAGGAAAATATTCCAGGGGTTGAGATTTCTTGACGATAGTTACTTCAGTGGTGGTTATCAATTGTGTAAATAACCACAGAATTGTATGTTTAAAAGGGGGATATGTGATATATAAATGTATTTATAGACTATTCTTTTAAAATAACCTGAAGTCTGCAGAGAAAAAGAAACCCTTTTATATTGTTGGTGGGAGTGTAAACCATGGAAAGCAGTTTGGAGGTTCCTCAAAAAACTAAAAATAGAAATTCCATTCGACATAGCTCTTCCCCTTCTTGGTAAGAGTTAAATACATGATACGTGCATTCCTATGTTTAGAGCAGCACAATTCATAATAGCTAAATCTTGGAAGAAGACTATATGGATAGATGAATGGATAGACAGGGGCTAGAAGACGGATGAATGGATAAAGAAAATGTGGTATGTATACACAACAGAGTATTTTTTTGCCATAAAGGAGGATAAACTTGTTATTTGTAGGAAAATGGATATAGCGTGTGACAATAAAATTAAGTTAAATAAATCAGATACAGAGGTTTAAGTATGCCGGAGTCCAGCTCCAGTGGGTTCAGGTCCTGAGAGAAGGTGTGGAGTCGGCGACAAGAGAATGAGACAGACACTGAGTGGAGGGTCAGCAGCTCAGCTTGCCTGTCTGAGTTATACCGAAATCACTTTACTTATATATGTTTTGATTACACAAGGCTTTGGTAAGCACATGGGTCCATACACAGTGTGTTTTCATACAGAGTTAAAGAAAAGCTGATATCATCTAAGAAACTATTTTAGACCACCCAGTTCTAAATACTCTTCCGAGTGCTACGTGAACTCTTGCTAATTTATCAGATTTGCATTTGAGGAACAGGAAGCATTTTAGAAAGGTCAGGCTACTTCATTAGGCCAAGTTTCGTCAGATCTCATTGTTGTGTGCCCTGCGGGTGTTGGCCAAGGGTGACCAGGTGCCAGACAGTGGGGCGTCTGCGTCATGAATTTGTAGATGTCCCAATCTCCCTTTGTGCAGTCAGGGCATATGGATGTCACGTCCCCACTACTCATGGAGGTATGAGTGAGGGGCTTTTCTGTAAATGAATTTACAATTTCTTCCTGTAATCCCGGCCTAGTAGCCATTTCTGAAGTAATGACTTTTATCCTTTCAGTGATTTCCCGGGGAGTACAGCACCAAGGTAATTACTACCGCGGAAAGCAAAAGCAAAAGATGGAGTCATGGTTTCAGCCATAGTCTCAGTTTCACTGGAGCTGTGTCAAGCAGTGAGATTGTGACCATGGCCTGCGCCATAAGTATAACATGGTTTCTCTTATATGAGAAACTCAAAGTACAAATAAATTAAAGAGCAGAATAAATCATGGATAATAGGACATAGGAAGATAGACATTTTGCAAAAGTGAAGGGCACCAAGAGACAGATGAAGGGGGAAACAAGGGAGAGGGGATAAAGAAAAGAATTAAGATATTTTATGTATGTCTGTTACTCTCAATGATGAATATTATCAATATGTACTGCAAACATGTGCTAACAACATTTAAAAAAAAAAAAGAAACTAGAATCAGGACAAAAATAAACACACCCAAAGTTAAAGAAAGAAAAGAACCTGAAACAAAAACATTTATGATGTTAAGGTCAGGCTATGTCTCAGCTGCTTGTGCACCTCGATAGGGCAGCCTGACCAAGATCCCACAAACCAGGAATTCTCCCCAATCCCGCTCAGTGCGCAGAGACCCGGAGGACTTCCTGCATCTCTGAGAATAAAAGCGCACCTCCAAAAGGTGGTCCCCAGGAGCTAGGCCTCCCTGGTGTCAGAAAAGAAGGGATTTTCATTAGGCCTTGCTGGTGTTATCAGTTGAAGTTTCCCCAAGATGCAGTGGCTTCTTCCCATAGTAAGCAGGCTTTGTCCTCTGGTCAAACCACCCGCTCAGGAGGGCCCTGCCAGAGCTGAGCATCGGTCTAGCCTTCCCTTCTGGGCTCTTCCAAGAAGGAGAAAGTAGATTCCTAAGAAAAGTGCTGGCTGCAGGCTGCATGCTAGCACACGGGCTAATGGTACAGAGGGCTGAAGGGAACTTTAAAGGGATGCAGTTGAAGTCGGGATGGCCCCCTAAAGAAAACGAGGCCTTGTGAGTGGGGTGGTGAAGGGACTCCCGTGGAGTCCCCTTCAGCCTGTGTGCTCCCAGGAGTCATGGGAAGAACAGCCCCATTGTGCAGGGAAGACCTGGGCCAGACTCATGTGCACCCGGAGCTTGGCGGCACATCAGGTCCTTCCCTGCTTGCTGTCCTCATGCCCCAGAGGAGACAAAGGCTGAGACAGGAGCAGCAACCCTGAGAGTATTTTCCAGTCATCTTTATTTACATTGTGAAATGACACCCCCAAAGAACAGTCCCTCACCCCAGCAGGTCCTCCCTCCCTCCCTCCCCACCCCCTCTCATCACCTCTCCATGCCCCAGAGCAGCTGGATCAGAACTCAGGGAGGAGGGACCTCTGGCTTGTGGAGTGCAGGATGCAGCCAGGGTGAAATCTTGCCAAGGCCTAGCTGAAGGACGGGCACCCCAGAGTCTGCCGACCAGCCTTATGGGGGCCAGGTCTTTCTCCTCCTCTGGGAGCCTGATTTGTTACACCTCCCCTTCTTAGGCCACAGGTGTGGACCCAGCCCCTGAGCCAAATCTTGCCCTCCAGAGACCTGGCAGGAAGGCCCCAGGCGGGACACCTTTCCCACAGGAGCTGTACCTCCCGTGAGGACTCGCTTTTTGGACCTGGCAGATGGAGGGAGGTCAGGGCTGAGGCTGCCTCCCTGGGGAGGTAAGGCCTGGGGTGCTGGACCTTCAGGGCAGGGGAGGCCCATGCCAGGCTCTGGGGTCGGGGGCCATGCCCAGTTCAGCAGCTGGCGAGGGGAGACCAGGAGGAAGGACAGGCTGGAGATGTCCCCGTCGTCCTCACCCAGGCTGGATGCTGGCTCGCACGGCACCCCAGTAGGAGAGGCTCCTCTGAAGCTCAGGGCACCTCTGGGTGTCAGGTCTTGGGGAAGAGCACTGGGACCGGATGCTCTCAATGGGGCAGGGTGGTGTCGCCTTCGCAGGACAGCAGGGACCTCAGGGCCAGGCAACTCTTCATCAGTGTCCCTGTATCTTTTACAGACCTGGGAAGCTTTTGGAGTGGGGCAGGTCTTCTTGTTGACCCTCAGTTTGGGGTCATGGTCATCTTGCTCTGCACCTTGGTGGACAGCAGATCGAGGTGCACTTGGGCTCTGGGGCCTGCACACACCTCCCTTGGCCTTGGAGCCCAGGAGGCACTTCTCCACCAGCTGCAGGAGGAAATGGGCACTTGCTGGGTCTGCACCAGGCATGAGGAGGGCTGACAGGGTGGAGATGATGGCATTTGGGCAGTAGGCTGAGTCCCTGGGACCAGCCTGCTGGGCCTTCTCCCAGCTCTGCACCCTCAGCCCTCCTCACTCTCGGGTCTCCTTCCTCCTTGTCCCCATGTGCCTCACCCATCTGGGTGCAGCCCCTCTCTAGAAGGCAGCAATTCTCAGCTGGGTTAGGGCTGGAGAAAGTCACGTGGACTTGGTGTGCAGGGTCCCTTCTTCATCTTGATGATCTACCCAGTGTCCTTCCCTCCCCTGTCTACCTGATGTCCCTCCGTCTTCATATCTACTTGGTGTCCTTCCATCACTTGTCTCCCTCTCCCCTCATGCTCCCTTGTCCTACTTGGTGCCCCTCTGTGCCTCATCTGCCTGTTGATCCCTCCCCTTGTCTGGTCAACCTGGTGCCCCTGCCCTTGTCCATCTGGTGTCCCTCATCCCCGTGGCCTACCTCGTCAAGTGTGAGTATATGTTCCACTTCTAGCACCTCTTCTAGCACCTCTTCTACAGCCAAGATGCTATCTGTCTCTACATCTGTAGATCCTACTTCTTCCAGGAATTGGAGGTTGATAATGGCCTCCACCTGGATCAGAAGAAGAAACTATGTGTCCTTGGTAAGGAGCAACTCTAAGCCAAAGGGAAGCCCAAGAGAAGCGACACCCAGCCCATTCTGGTCCACACTTTTGCATTGCTAATCATGACCACCAGCTTCACTCACTTACCCAGACACACACATTCACAATGAGACAAAAACATACCCACACCGAGAGAGAGAGGGAGGTGGGGGGGACTGGGTAATTAAGGAATCAGGCTAAATTCCAAAGGCTTGGGATGCTGTTCTTGGAATCTTAAGGACACAGGCCTCCAGCCCCAGCACACCTTGGTGACAAAGTCTTCTTGGGAGCATAGCTCATCAATGTAACTCAGGATATCCAGAGCCTGGGCATAACTCCTCCTCTTCCCACTGCTGCTCCTCTTCCTGATTTTCTTCAGGCTCCCCAGTGGACAAGAGATGATTTTCTTCCAGCCAGTCCATGATCTCCACGGCTTCAGGAGAGATCTCATCAGGTGCCATGGTCTCAGGTGACTGCTGGCATTTGGATCCTGGGGGGCAGGCAGCCTGTGCCTTAGAGTCTGCCTGCCTGGGGACACACACTAGAATGGGAGAAGGGAGTGGTGTATGGATGGGGGCTCCAGCTACACCCCAGTCCCAGTGGGGAGAGCAGTGACTAGGGGGCCTAATGTCATCCAGAGTAGTCCAGGACAACCTGACCTCAGAACCTGTGAGGAGAGACTCTGCATGAGGTAGAATGTGGAGACAGTCACATGGGAGGACATGTGGAGCTATCTAAATGCCAGATACTCTCCCCACCCTGTCCCCAAGTCCTGGGCAGATGGTGGGGTCAGATATTGCACAGCCTGTCAATACCCTGCTCAAAACCAAGGGCTGGGGAATCCCAGGCACTGGAGTATTTTCTGCTTTTAAAACCAAATGCCTCATCCTGATTGAAAACCCAACAGATGTGGGACATCAGCTTCCCTCTGCCCGCTTTGGCCTCTGCCATGATTGCCCATGAAACACGGGAAGCCCTACCTGGTTGCTGGACAACCTTAGGCACTGGGGGCCTTGGAGCTTCGGGCCTCAGTGGGGCTGGAATTGGACAGCCCGGAAGTCCCCCAGTCAACTGCAACCTGAGCCGTTCCATCTTTTCAGCAGCCTCAAACTCCATGAACCTGGGAGTGGGGAGGCACAGGCTGAGCTGCTCGGGGAGCCAGGCCCCAGGCCATAAGGACCTTGGGCTGGACCAGTGTCAGGTACGGGGAGCAGTGCCCTGGGTGGACTGGTCTAGTCGTAGGAGGGTGCTGATCCCAGGGCACAATCACAGTTCTGGGCACACCCTTCATCACCTGCAGGGAATCTTGTTAGGCCTACGTGACCCACAGAGACTTTCAGCCTTTTCAGGCCTGCCCTAGCCTTGCACAGAGCCACAAACAGGAACTGACCACCAGAAGCTGGTCAGGAAGTAAGTTAAGGCAGAAAACACAAGGAGTCCTTGTCCCATTCAGGGATCCTGAGCTGGGACTGTGAGTCCTGGAATGATGCCCTGGGAGACAAGGGCTCTGCAAAAGTCAGGAGAAAGAGGGAGCCAAGTGGGGAAGATTTAGGTCACTTTCCTCTGTGGCCTGTTTTTCTGTTTCTCTGTTTCTGTTTGTTTGTTTAGAACAGATTAGGTAGAGAAAAATCAATAAGGGCAAGGACATGTGGTCTAGGTATCTGAGAGGCTTTCTTCCTGTAATCATGCTGTCCGCTCTCGCATCTCCTCCTGGAACCTCAGGTTATAGCCTGGCCCCTTTCATGCACAGAGATGGTCCCTACTATGTCAGCAGGGGACTAGCATGTGGCTAATGGCACTTATCCCCTTTATATAGCCCCCACTGCTGGAAGACACCCCATGAACAGTGAGGCCCGAGCTTCTGGGACTTCCCAGCCTCCAGGTAGAAGGAGCTGCCTCCTAAGGACCAAGATATCCAGGGGTGGGGTCTGTGCACCCCTGCTGACATTGTGTGGGTGACAAGCGCCATTGGACACAGCTGCGCAGTCCATGCACTGTTGCAGCTCAGGCCCAGGCCCAGGGTCCTTGACTCACTCTTCAGCCACCTCGTAGAATGTCATGCACTTGTACTTGCTCGTGGGGTCCCATTCGTGCACGCCTATCTGCAGGCCCTTCTCCACACTCATGGCCGGCCGCCGGAGGGACAGGGACCGAAGCACTGGCCTGTAATTGCTCAGGATCAGTTGCCGTCCACTACCCTTGCCCTGCATACCCAGCTGGTCCAGCTGTGCACATCCCATACCCCTGTCATCTCTGCCCCTGTCACTTCTTCTCTTGTGGTCTGACAGCCTCTAGGACACCTTGTCAGGCCCTAGACATCAACACCAGTGCTCCACTGGAGACTGATTTACCTTCGTGTCCTCACTGTTGGTGTTGTCTATTATGGACAAGATGTTTTTCTCCCCTACAGTCCATGTGTTGAAGTACTGACCCCCAATGTGATGGTATTTAGAAAGAGTCAGATGAGTTCAGCAAGGTGGGACTGTCATGATGGGATTAGTGCCTTTCTAGGAAGAGGAAGAGACCCTAGAGCTCCCTAAACCATGTGAGGACACAAGTGGGGCTGCCACCTTCTCCAGCCAGGGGGCGAGTCATCATCACACAGAATCTGCCAGCCCCCTGACCTGGGACTTGCTGCCTTCAGAACTGTGAGGAATGAATGTGGGCGGTTTCCACTTGCCAGTCTAGGGTATTCTGTCTGGCAGCCTGAGCTGACAGGGCCAGTGACCTGAAGCCGGGGATAAAGCCTGGGGTAAAGATTTAAATGGTGGCTGAGGATCAAATAGAATTAGGAGCCCAGGTGTGCCCTCATGTGAGTGCTTCACCACCTTGTTCTCCTAACCGTGGTTCCCCACAACAACAGGGGTGGGAACAAGTGTCATTTTCCCTCTCAGTTTCTGTACCTCCTACCACCAGTGGTTGTGGTGACCTCAGGGCCGTGAGTCCACAGGTCTATGAAGGAAGGTGAAAATAGAAGGGAAGTGACCATGACATGTCAGAGACCTAAACTCAAATGGTGGCTCGTGTTACACCAGGAACCTTCTCTGACCTTGAGTCTTGAGCAGCATGGTGATAACTATTGGAAAAGAACCATTGGCTGCACTCAGAGAGGGGCAGTGGTGTCCATAGATCAAGCACTCTTCTTACCCTGGCATCACATAAATATTTCTGCCCTTACTATATCACCCTCACCCCTTCCTGCAAGTTCCTCTACATCCCAAATTCCTTGTCACCCCTCCTCCTTCCTTGCACTAGAGCTGCAGGGTGAGCTCCTGGGTCCCTTCGAGGGTACTCAGACGAGGAAACAGGACACCGCTTCCACATCAGGTGTGTGGGGAAGGTGTCTCCGGAGCAGGGTCTTCAAATACTGCCAGTGCTGGAAGTTCTCATAGACACTTGGAGACTTGCAGGTGTGATCTGGTGAGGCATTGGCCTGCGAGGTGGCCAGGCCACGCTCTGTGGAGTTGCAGTGTGGTGGTGGGCCCGTGTCCACCCCAAACATGGTGGGGGCCACTGGTGGTACAGCTGGGGGCTGAAGGCCTCAGGGCCACATCCCATCGTCAACTTGGATCTTCACCCCAGTTGGGGCAGGTGGGAAGGTGGTCATGGGTGGAGCTCTCAGCCCAGGGGAGCAGGATGCTGCATACCTGGATGCTGGACCCCTGGGCGCCCCTCATGAGTGGCACCTGAGTGAGGACAGTGCTCTGAATGAGCAGGGACACTGCTGGCCTCCTTGCTCTCCTGGCTTGGGCAGTGATGTTGAAAGGCCTGGCCCCAGTCTGCCCACAGCCACCGTGTCCTGCCACCACAGGTGTCATGGGGAAAAGGGACAGCACCAGGGGGTTACCCTGAGGAAGTGGTGCATTCCCAAAGGATGGTGGTGGTGGCTCCCAGTGTAGCTGGTGTACTGGGACTGGGTCAGGTGGGAGAGGGTGCAGGACCACAGAAGGAGATAGGATGACACCAGACTTCAGGATCATATGTGGGTGCAGCACTGGAAATGCTGTGAAGAGAAGGGAAGGAGTGATGGGAGGAGGGGACATGGCAGGAGGGAGTCTCTGTTCTTCCACAGTCACTGGGAATCAGACAAATCTCTCCAGTTCAGGGTTGTGTGGAAGGAATATTTTGCAGTTAGCAAATGTCCCAAAGTAAATTTTCCTGTTCTCTTCCTCCCTTTCAGAATTCCTCCTGCAAGGAACTTTCTTCTAGTTCACTAAAATTCACAACCCCTGCTTGTCCAAAGCAGCTCCTCAGCTTTCCCTCCCTCTAAGGGATACTTCCTTTTCCTCATGCGCCTTCTAAACCCTTGTCTTTCTTGCCTTTCAAGCACAATATAACACAGCCTTTGAATAAAATCTTTCCCAACACTATCACCTGAAGATAACCCCATAAGGGATCCCACCCACCTCTCACAACAAACACTAATGCGGGAACTCATCCTGACCAGTCTTGTCCCCAGTAATCTGTGGTCCCTGCCGTGACACTGGAGGCTGTGTTCCCATGGGACAGGTCTGGAAGGTAGACATTGGCTTCCCTGAGTACTTGTCCTTGCAGAAACAGTCAGGAGTTTCTGCAGAGGACCAGAAAGAGCCAAGTAATAGTGATTGTGGAACTGTCCCATGAGTTTTCAAGAAATTTTCACAGCTAGTGATTGTCAGAGTTGGTTGTGGAACTGGAACCTATCTGTGGAGCTTTTCTTTTGGGGTCCTAATAAGTGAAAGGAAAGAGCCCCATGGGTCCTCCATGAGTCAGGTGCCACATGAAACAAAGTTGCCTGGAGCCCATCCTTGGTCAGTAGGACCTTATGCAGACCCTGGTCAAGGAGAGCAAGGACCATGACACCTGCACCCAGTAATCAGCACACCTGTCCTACCCTAATACTAACATAACAGCGAAGGATCTTCCTGTGAGCTACACACCATCCTCTCTTAGCATGGAAACCAGCTTTCACTGCTATAGAAAACCAGCACCACTCCACATGTGCTCCCTGTGCATGAAACACCAGACAGGAACATGGGCTGTGTTCCTGCCAACAGTGAAATGAAGGGCTGAGGGTCCACATCAATAGTAGACAAGACTAAGAACCCCTGAAGACCTGTTTTGATGAACAAGATGACATTTCAGAACAACTCAGGGAGGCCCAAGCCCTGTATGTTGAAATTTCTGTGTTGCCCTGGGATGAAGTGCAACTTGGATTGAGGGAAAAGCCCTCTCTGAGTGAGAAGGTGCTTGGGGGCTCTTGGCTGTGGCAGCTGAATAACCCCCGGCCTTGTTCACACAGAGGATATTTCAGTGGACAGTTGGGTTAAGGAGAGTCAGTCCCACTGAGCAGTTTTCTGTATAAGATCACTTTCTCCCTGTCCTGCTAAGATCCAGAAGACTATAGTCAAACCCCTCAGAGCAGTCAGACACACAAGTTCCAAGTACCTGAAGAAAGGACACAGGACTCAGGCTTTCCCCTTGAAAATATCCTTGTCTCCACTTGATACCATGCCACCAGTGTCTATCATCCCTGTTGAAGTAACATCTCTCCCTTTCTAGAGAGGATGAATCTATTTCCTCCCATTCTTTCCCTGACCCAGTATATTTTCCCTAGGGCGTTTTGAAATCCATCTAAGGAGGGAGTCCTTGTCCCCATGAGCCGTCTCAGAGTGACATGAACTTTCCCTGCCTCCCAGTGAAGATGTCCTTGGTCAAGTCCAATACACTCTTTTCTTTACATCAGCTCAACCACCTGTACCCAGGGAAGTGACAAATTCAAATTCCTAACAGTTTAAGGGATGTCCGGCAGTTAGATTACATGTCCAGGCTTACCTCCTTCTAAAAGCATCTCCACAGGTGTGGACACAGACATCAACTCTCTAGCTGCTACCACCCCGAGAAGAGTAATAGGTGGGACCCAGAGAGTGACCTGTGACCAGAGGCTCACACAGAACCAACTGCAGGGGTAAGGTTTGAACGTAAAGGAACCGGAGCGCTGATAAACAGACATTCTGCCGGGGCGGAGGGCAGAGGCCACAGGGCTGGGGGGAGGGGGGGTGGAGAGACATGCCAGAAAGAGCTCCTGTGGGTAGAGGAGGCCCTCAAGATACCTTCAAATAATGTGGTGAAAGCATTACTGCTGGGTGACTCTTGCCAACTTTTAAATTATCTCTTACCACTCCCAGCACTGTGGTTTTATTAATATCTCCTTACTTCAGTTTCTCACCAGTAAAACTTGTTTCATTCCCCTCATTTCACCCAGCATCCCTCCTTTGAAGTAGGGTCTTGACTAATTTCAAAACTCATTATACTTTCTTAACAAAATTCAGACCATATATTTATGTAAATATGGGGCAGGGTAGGGAGAAGATGAATAGTTTGAGTTAAGATTGTGTGGAAGGAGCAAGTGCTTAACATATGCATACCATTCCTTAGAATGGAAGCAGTTCTTGTGTCTTCCTCAAGTGTGCAGGTCTTACTTGGGATCTCCTTTGCTAGAAAGCCCTGTTCACCAAGAAACCACACAAATGTAGCCTACAGGCCCAACACAGAAATCCCTTCTTTGGTTGTCAGAGTGTTTTGTTCTTTGTGCCTTGCTTTCCATGTCACCTCAACTGATTGTCCTGACTTTTTAAATAGGATTTCAGTAGGTTTTTGTCTGGACCAGTAATGTAAAAATTGCATTGTGTAAAAGTTGTCTTTTCCATAGTCCTAGACCCCAGACACAGGTATAATCAAATTAGCCCAAATGTAATTTGCGACTTCTGACAGTGTTAGTCACTTTTCCTAAGCTGGGACAAAATACACAAGAAAAAATAAGGAGAAAAGGTTTATTGTGGCTCACAGCTTCAGAACTTTCTGTCTGTGTTTGGCTGGCTTCAAGAGAGAAACATCGTGGCAGAGGGCACGGAGGGAAAGCTGCTCAACTCATGATATCCAGGAAGAACAGAGCAGGAGAAGCAACTGAGAGGAAGGGCCAAGGACCCAGTGCAGTCCCCAGGTCACACTCTCATCCCACCCAGTCACATGCAGAAATGTGCTTTACTAATCTCTGGGGAGTCACTCAAACCAAGGAAAATGACAATCAAGATTAACCGTCACACTGGTCATGCATGGAAACGGGTATCTCATAGCCCTTTGGACCCCGCCCTCTGACCCTTCCTGTAGAAAGGCCCAGGACCATCATTGACTGCTGGGGAAAAAATGTCTCTGATCATAGATCACCTGCTTCAGAAGACTTGTGTTCTTCCATCCAGTACTGGAACATGGGAGGAGTGGGGAGGTGCCTTGTCTGTGTCCTTAGAGTCCGTGCACTGGGAGGATCTTGTCAGTCCTGGATTACAGGGCTGTTTGAAATTATCCTGTTATTGATCCCACAGATTACCAGAAAGAGGACCTAGTGATAGATTTTTGAAACTTGCAAATTCAAGTTAGTGAGCTGATTCTAATTTTGTTTTTAAATCAGTGACTGAAATTCTTCGATGTATGTCAAACAGGAGAAAGTAAATCATTCCCACTTATCTGCGATGTTGGCTAAATTGACCTGATTGTCAATTTCTGGTTAAAGGTTTAATAAAGGGTTGCAAAAATTTTTTTGTGTGACTTAACATTTATTGGGAGAACTATGTGCATGAAATAAATATACTCAGTACAGTAAATGGAGGGGATCTCTAGGAATACAGTCAGGACACATATCTTAGAGTGCTTCTGAGCTCTGAAATTCTTTGCCAGAACTGTTTGTTAATGGAACCTTCTAATGGACTAGGAGAAAACAACATACTTGTTTTTGGAAAGAAGTGCAGTCTGAAGGAGGTAAAAGCACCAGGCCCAGTATAAGTCATAGTTTGCTTTAGGATAAATGCCTCAAAATATTTCAGCTAAGGTGGTTCCAAAGGGCACAGATGGCAGGTTTGCAATTTTGAAAAACTTGTGTGTGGCCGTTTGCAGGTCCCCCACAGTGTTTCCCGGAGGGGGATTCAACCCCAGAGAAGTCTTGAAGGATGGCCCGAGGGGATATTTCTTTGCTTCTTGCCAGGTTTTCTCTGGTGCCCGGCGCGCATTCGCTAGTCCTGAGTTCAAGGAGCTCTTTCCCAAGCCTCGCGCTACAACCGCTCTAGGAATCAGAGAACTGTTCAGGCGAGGCGCACGTGCTCGTCCTCGGGAGATGCGCAAGCGCGAGCATGGAGGTTTGCAGCCAACCGTTAAGGCTGCCATAGCGGTTCCAGAGTCCGTTACCAACATCAAAGGTAATGGCTTCTCTGACCTAGCACTTCCCCGTGATGTTCCTACACTTGCCCCTTGTGCCTGCCCTTGAGGTTTTGGCATGTATGTGTCTTGGGGGTCACACTCCTTCTTGTGCCCTGGTCTCCTGCTGAAATGGCCCAGGTGTTTTCCCAAGGCCCTGGGCAAAGCCCCAGGCCGGGCTCCAGTCCTTGCTATTCTGTGGGTCTGAGGCTGGGCGGGAGGGGGACACCCACGGACATGGTTGGAGCTTAACAGTGTGCCCAGTCTGTATCTCCTCCACGCACCGTGATGCAGAAGCCTGAGGAACGCTTATGTATCTGAAAAGAGTCATCCAGTGCCACAGAGAAGTCGCTCATGTCACTAAAAATAAGTGACCAGAGCACCGGGAAGGAAGCTCCCCCGCTGCCACCCCAAGTTCCTAGGGCAGAGAAGGTGAGCTGCGCGGGGAGCAGAAGAAACCGCCCCCTCCGCCCCGTAGAAATGAGAAGACACGTAAACAAGCCTCAAAAAAATGTGTGACCAGCTGTGCGACATCTTGTTTTCACGCATAAAACTTTTAAGGTAGGGAAAGTATCAGGCACCATTTATGTGCCAACTACACTCAAAAGTGACAGCCAAAGTTGAATAACACGCTTTAGCCTAGTGTGATGTTGTCATATGGTGGGTGATTGAGCTTCAAGCATAGGTTCCTCTGGATGCAGGGGGATGCCAAAAGTCAACAGGAGCACTGTGTGTGACCAGTTGCAATAAAGAGATTGTCTCTTGGGGCTGGGGATTTAGCTCAGTGGTTTCGCCGCCTGCTGCGCAAGCGCAAGCACCCGGGTTCCATCCCTGGTACCAAGAAAAAAAAAGAAAAGAGATTGTCTGTTTATTATTTTTGTTTGTTTGTTTGTTTTTGTTCCAGGGATCGAACTCAGGTCCTTGCGCTTGCACAGCAGGCGCCGAAACCACTGAGCTAAATCCCCGGGTGTTTATCATTATTATTACTTTTTTTGGTACCGGGGATCGAACTCTGGTCCTTGCGCTTGCGAGGCAAGTGGCGGAACCACTGAGCTAAATCCCCAGCCCGTGTCTATTATTACATTATGTTCCACGCATGCATTATGTTTGGAAACTTTATTACATGCTCTGTGTGTGTGTGTGTGTGTGTGTGTGTGTGTGCGCGTGTGTGTGTGTGTTGATGGTCTGTTGGGGAGACCTTGTGTGTACTTGAGGATGGGAGGAAGTTTTAGTTTTTATTTTGGGAGTTATAAGAATTGTGGGTGGGTGGGGGCCGGGGATTTAGCTCAGTGGTTCTGGCACCTGCCTCGCAAGCACAAGGTCCCAAGTTCGATTCCCAGTTCCAAAAAAAAGAATTGTGGGTGGTCACTTCTGAAAATGTAATGTGGTTGATGGGCTCGTGGGGGCTGTGGGAATTTACAGGGCATGGGTGATTTGATGTAGGTATCTTTGTGGTGTGTTGGGAATGTGTGCATATGAATTCATAGTTTAAGGACTTGCTGTGTTTTAAATTGGCTGTGACAGTCTAATGTATGTATTCACCTGTGTAGGTGGTGGTGTCTGGGTGGATATTTGGGATAAAGGGAAAGTCATGACTGCTTTTTTGCAACTGTGTAGGGTTGGTTGTATTTAGAGGGTGTTATGCATGTCTACTCAGGCAGTTGGTGTTGCTTGTAATTTGGGTTTTGGAATATTTCACCTATGGTTTCTTCTCCTTGAATGTTAGGATTTTTGCGCATGCTTGACATGAGTCTGTGAGGGGGGGAGAAAGAGTGTGAGTTTGGAAAAAAATGTGCATATGCCGATGGGTGGTGTTAGAGAAAGTGGTAATATTTGTCTGAGTGTGCATATTTCAAAGAAGTGTTCTTTTCTGAAGGTTCAGCATACCTCTGTTTTATATTATTGGGAAATGTAAGAGGATTATTCGTGTGTACAGGACAGGCTGTGTGGTTATATACTTTTTCTGACCTTCAAGATCTGTGTGTGTGTCCTTCATTGTATGATGACAGGTCTATGATTATTTTTTGAACTAGTAAGAGAAATGTATGCAATTGTGATATAAATTTAGTATGATTCTGCATTTTGGAAGACAGAGGAGTTATTTTTATTTTGGAGTGTATGGTCTTGTATATGCAGGTAGCACAAGATTGTGTATTTGGAAATATTTGCAAATTTGAAGTGAGCTGGTCAATTGTGTAGATATTTGATGCTTAGGAGAGGCCCACGTGTATTGAAGTTGTACATAGTACATCTCTCTGATGTGTGCACATATGTGTGTGTGCTTGTATTTTGTAGCAATGACCATATAGTTGTGTAAAATAAGAATATCTGGGTGACAATGAGTACATGTATTCAGAGGTATGGAGGTTTGGATAAGAATTTTCTGGGGGCTGTCTGTATTTCCAATGGGAATGTTATTAGTCTATAGTAACACAGAAGAGTATGGGAATGGTATTTATAGGTACTAGAGGTATGTGACACAGCCATTTCTTAGTATTTTAAGGTACATGAATTGTTTTCTACCAGCCAAGAGTAATTAGGGATATGTAAGAGGTTTTCTGGGTGTTTTTAAATGGTACACTGGAGATAGTTTTCTGAGTTTTGGGAACATGCCCTGGTTTGCTCATGTCCATTTGTGGGCAGATGAGTTATGTGATTTATTCTTAGGGAATGAGGTTGTTAGGAGTATTCAAAGTGTATTTGTTTGGAGAATGCTGTGGGTATTTGTAAGAGTCTATGGGAATGCTTCAAGAATGCAGGTGGGCCGGGGATTTAGCTCAATTGTTCCAGTGCCTGCCTCACAAGCACAAGGTCCCGAGTTCGATCCCTGGTACCAAAAAAAAAAAAAAAAAATCTTTGAAGAATGCAGGTGGAGGATTCTGTCCTGGAGATGTGGACTATGGTCGTGTTTTAGAAGATACAATGGACCCTCAAGTTACAGGTGGCTCAGATTTTTAAATTCTGTAAAAGTATGGGTGGTAAGCAGGCTCTGTCTGTGTGTTTGGGATGCAGGTGGCATTTTTGGCAATGATGGTCATTTCTTCCTGTTTTTTTCTGTCCATTTGTGTCAAGTTTGTAGGTGAACTTAATCATGCTGGGGTAGTTATACCACATGACCTAAAAGTTAAGAATTTCTTTCCTCTCCTTGGAGGATTCTTTAATAAGTATTTACTAGCACACCATTGTGTGTGTGTGTGTGTGTCTGTGTGTCTGTGTGTCTGTGTGTAGTATGTATGACAAGATGATTGTGTAGTGGGAACATTGAGATAACAGGAAGCACATGTGAAACAGCAAGGTTTCTGTTGCATTGATAAAGCTTGTTACCGCTAGTCCAAGGGGATGGAAGGCACACCAGGAGCCTTGGAGACAAAGTAAAGCTTTATTTACACCGGCGGGCCAGCCTGCATTCACACATGGGAAACTGGCCCCATCCAACACTTGAACAAAGTAGATATACACTTTGGGAGGGGGCATTATAAGTGAGGTACTCTTGGTGTACATTCATTAGTTACAGAATTTGATTATGCATTAACAGGCAGAATCAAACATGACATCGGCTCACATATAATACTGGCAGCAGGTTCATTGGGTAATTCAAACTATGGGGATTATTACTTCATTTGCATCTGGGCAGAAAGACAAAACTGCTTGAGAGACAAAGACATTCCTGAGATGCAGAAGTTGGCTTAGGCACGTCCAGGCATGTGAGGTGGGACAGGCCCAGACATTTTGAACAAAGCAAATTTTAGGTAGGGAATTTTCTGTAGTAAGTTGTGCTTGAACTATGGAGGCAAAATTCCTCTTTCACATGTACTTGACACTTTCTGTGAATTGAGTCAGGCATTAGTGGCCTTGACCCTTGTGTGTGTGCTGGTCATTCTGAGCCATCACATTGCTCCTAACTAGGTTAGTTCATTCTTTAGCCACCAAAATCCTCATAAATACTGATTTCTGGTTCCTCCTTAGGAATATGAGTTAAGTGGTATGTAGGCAGGTAGTTGCCCCTTCAGCATGTGTGGTCCTAGATATAGGTTGCTGGATGTATCTGACTGGTGGACAGATGGCCACTGAAAGCAGAACTGTCATAGGTTCTGCCTCAGTGATGGACAGCAGTCATAAATTGTGTAGTTTCCTGGGCAGGAGGTTTAATAGGCCAAGACCTCTTCTGTTCAAATCCCCCTGAGAAGCAGCTGGGCAGCCACAGGTACTGTTGGCTGCTCTGGGATGCACCAGCTGGGTGAAGACATCCTTCATGGGGTCCAGCTTTGAAAGCCTGCAGAACCTCTAGTCCCTGCTACTGTCTTCCTCTAGATATCAGGAGGTCAGCTGAGTAACTAGTTCCAAATCCACTTATCCCCATGAAAACCTGAGGGGTTGGTGCTAGTAGACAAGACCTCCCTGCACCCTCACTGCAGATGAAATGTTTTGATTTCTGGCTTGGGAGTAATGCTTCAATGGATTATGTTTTGAGGAAATGTTCTCCTTTCTCTTCTGGAGGCTCAGGATACCTCTATCTCTGAGAAGCTCATTTCAGATTTTTGTTTTTCTGATAAGTATTCTTGGCCTACTTTATTTATCCTATTCTGGTGTTAATACATGAGAGGGAGCTGTGTGATCAAGGTGGTCACCAACTGACTTCACAGGTCCTTGTGCCTCCCTGGGACCCAGCTCAAGATCTTTGCTCCTGGCTCTGTGTATCTTGCTTACTGGGACTCGGGGATAAAGCCAGAGGAAGAGTGGCCTTTGCAGGAAGAGGTTAAGGGAACAAGTCAGGGGCTATGAATACCATGTTGTGGTTTGGATTTTAACCTCAAAGACTAATCTATTAAAGACATAGTCCCTATTTGATGATGCTGTTGTCAGGTGATGGACCATTTGAGATGAGGCCTAATGGAAGGGAATTAGGGTCTGGGGGCATTTTCTTGAAGTAAACATTGTGGCCTTAACACTTTGATTTCTTTCTCTTTGCTTCTAGGATGCTATGAGTTTTAGTAGTTTTCAT